ATTAAAGCATCTATAATCTCCAAGCCCGCAGAGACCCAGGAAGCTGTAGCGGCAAGCGGGTGCGCGGGCCGATAAGGACCTGCTCCGTCACCACAGCCTGCACTTTTAATATTTATAACAGCCGGCTTTCCAGGGCACCCGAGGAGAACGCCTGTCAAGCCTGCCTCTCCTTCCCCCCGCGACGGAGTTGAAAGATAAGCCGAAGTCTTTGAGAAGGCAGAACGCACACCTGTGTTTCAAGGGCAAGACGGTTTTAGCCGGGGAAAGAGGAGGAGGAGAGGAGTTCTCAGGATGTCACCAGTCAACGGGGCTGGAAGAGCACGACGTGGATCGTAGGACGTCGTTTGGCGCCAATTTCTGAATAAAGGGGACACAATTTTACCGCGTCAACGGGATCATACATTCCCGTATGTTCCCCCAAGAGCGCTGCGATCAGGGAGTCTGGACCTCCTTGAGGTCCCAGGCCCCCAGGACATCAAGTTTGCCCTAACCAAGGCCAGGGCATTTTCGGTGGCGGCTCCTACCTGGTGGAATGAGCTCCCGGTAGAGATCAGGGCCCTGCGGGACCTAGTGCAGTTCCGCAGGGCCTGCAAGACAGAGCTCTTCCGCCAGGCTTTTGAGTAGGAGCCACCGCCGCCGCCGCTATACCACCATCGTGGCGGACCTACCATCTACCTGGCCTTGGACGGGGGGCACACGTTGCCAGATGCGGGACATTATCCCGGCGCTTTGACGTTTTACTCTTTCGGCCGCAAATGAGAGCCATCGACCATCTTGGATTTTAAAATGACTTTGATCTTTACTATGTACTGCAGAGCACCATTTTATCTTGTATTTATTGAAGTTTTAATGTATTTTATGTTTTGATTCAGCATGGCCGCTGTTAGCCGCCCTGGGCCGTATGGGTAGGGCGGGATACAAATCCCAAAAAATAAATAAAAATAAATAAATAAAATAAAAATTGGTACTGCACCACCAGTGTGCACACAGAGGAGAAGATGGCGCCCCGGCCTTCAAAGACTTGTGATCTAAAATCTGACCAAGAAAGGTAAGGGCAGAAGAGGACGCACGTGGGAAGGATGTACGTTACAAGAGAGGTGGACGCTCCCTCGGTGACAGCAGAGACAAACGGGGAGTCATGCGCCACCTTAAAGCACGGGTCCCCGACTAAGTTTTCTCGGCCGGCAGGCACCTTTGGAATTCGTCCACAGTGGTGGGGGGCTCAGCCCAAAAATGGCCACTGCCAAGGGCAAAGCCAGACACAAGATTACCTTCAGCCCCAGAGCCAGCCCCAGCTTACCTTCAGACACACAGGGAAGATTCTTGTGCTGTGGTGGCAGCTGCTGCTGAAACAATGTTTTTAAAAATCTGCACAGCCAATAAAATCTCCCGCGGCCAATCAGAAGCCTTGCTGGGCAAAAGCCACTCCTGGCCCCACCCCCTTCCTAAAGACACTTGGGTGGTGCCACTGCACCCACAGGCAACACACTTGGGGACCCCTGCCTGAAAGAAGAACAACTTGATTGTGGCAGGAGCTTCCACAAACTAGATCCCACTTTGTCAGATGCATGAAGTGAAACCTCAGTATTTAGCTATATGGATATAGATACATGTAGGGAGGTGGAAAGTGTCAGTCGTGGGTCAAAAGCCCCCATAGCACAAAACATGTGATTTATCACATTTTTATCCTACCCCTTCACGCAAGGAACTCAGGATGGTGTTCAGGTTATTTCCTTCCTTTGTTTTATCCTCACAACAAACTGGCAAGGTAGGTCAGACCATGCTTAGCCCAAGGTCCTTCTCATGAGCTTTATGTCCGAGAGGGGATTTGAACATGGGGCTCCCCAGTCACGGCCCAATACTCCAACCACCACACCACATGGGCACATGTAACCTGTGACATGGCTATCTGAAGTTCACATGATGATGGCTGTAAAAGAGGCTGACATAAAATTCAAGGAGGAGAACAGGTCTATAAGCTGAGATGCCTACACAGAACCTCCCTAGTCAGAAGCAGTATATCTGAGCACCATTTGGTGGGATGCAACTGGAAAAAGGGAGGGAGGGCGAAGCCGTCCATGCCTGTGGGTTTCCAAGAAGCATGTGATAGACCATTGGAGGGGGACAGGGTGTTCCCTGGCTTGGATCCATCTAAGTCCTTCCAGTGCTCTTATGATGTGCAGTAATTACGAACCACCTAATAAGTCGATGCCATAAATGGAATTTAAAAGTTTTTATTATACAGTGTTAACCGAGGAACGTGTGCATCATTCCAGGGTAAAGTATTCTGCCAAAACATCGTTCTTCTGGCCGAACAGACCCGTGACTCGTTGGTATTCCAAAGGGACAGCGGTGGCTTTTTTCTTTAGGTCTTTGTCAAAGATCTAGCAGAGAGAGACGGAGAGAGATAAAAGTCTTTCACATTCATATCTGGCACACCCTTTCCCTCCAACTTGCCGTCTCCAGCATACCCAGATGTCCTTATCTACCTCATACTGCTTCTTAATTTATTAGTTCTAAGCAGGTTACTAAAATACAGAAAAGGCCAGACCCCATTTCCAGTTGACTGAGTGGCAGTGCTGCATTTTCTTTTCCCAGTTTCATTATCCGTTATCAGTTCTTTCGGACTTGGTGCTTTGGGTTTATGCTTCAAGGCAGCTGTTACAGCAGGCTTGACTTTCTTTTCAGGTCATATGAACATCAGAAGAGGCCCGCTGGATCAGACCAGCAGTCCATCTAGTCCAGCAATCTGCCTCACACGGTGGCCAACAAGTTCCTCTGGAGGGCCAGCGACAGGACCTAGAGGCCGAGGCCTTCCCCTGATGTCGCCTCCTGGCTCTGGGATTCAGAGGATCAGTGCCTCTGAAGATGGAGGTTCCCCTCAGTCCCCATGGCTAGCAGCTATCGACAGACTTATCCTCCATGAATCTATCTAATCCCCTTTTAACGCTGTTTATTCCTGTGGCCATCAGTGAACCCCACCTTTTATTCACTCTCTGTGTAAAGTAGCCTAATTAGCTTTGGTTCAAGTGGTTAAGACGCTGAACTGCAGGTTGTGGAAGGTCGGTAGTTCAGCAGTTCAAGACCCGGGTGCCGCATGATGGAGTGAGCTCCTGCCAACCAAGCAGTTCGAAAGCAAGAAATTGCAAGTAGATAAATAGGTACCACTTCGGTGGGAAGGGAACAGCGTTCCGTGCGCCTTGGTGTTTAGTCATGCCGGCCACATGACCACGGAAACGTCTTCGGACAGCGCTGGCTCTTCGGTTTTGAAACGGAGATGAGCACTGCAAACCTAGAGTCGGATTCGACTGGCTTTCGAGCAAGGGAACCTTTACCTTTACTTTGAGAGGGGAGCAGCCGGCACACAGACCGAGACAGAGTACCCTTCTGTGCTTCTATAGCTGTAGTCTTCCCCAATGGCAACTTTTTTCCATCTCGCATTTGATTTATTCTATTCTATTTTATTATTATTTTAATTCAGGTCTTTCAGGATGGAGTTTTATACTTTTGTTGCCACTACCACTGGTGTTATAATTTTGAGGATACGCTTGAGACGCCCAGACATTATCCTTGAAGATTCGCATTCTGCGGCGGCCAAACTAATACGAGCGGCGGGTCAGGAAACCCCATGATTCAGGTGGCCTCTGAAGGGGCTCTCTATCAAGTCAGACCATTGGTCCATCTCGCTCAGTACCGTCTCCTCTGATTGGCAGGACTGCTCCAGTTTCTCAGGCAGACACCGCTCCCTCTCCCTGAGATTTTTTAACGGGAGGTACCAATAAACGGCATTTCGGTCGGCACAGCACATGCCACTCAGCCTGCAGAACATGCCACTCAGCCTTACACAAAGTTAAAACTGTCGGCCCACCTAGCTTAATATGGCCGGCTGTAACTCCGGCTGCAGCTCTCCACAGTCTGAAGCTGACATCCTGCCACTTGAGACTCTTTAAACTGAAAGTGCCGGGGATGGAATGTGGGACCTGCTGCGTGAGCAGCAAGTGCCTTAAGGCTGAACTGGTAGTCCTGTCCAGTCCGCTGCCACCCCAACCTCTAACCTGGGGCGATGGCGCTACCCAGCTGGCAAAGTCAAAGCAAGGATGACTGCTTTGCCGGCAGACCCCACTGACTGGAACAGGGGTCCCCCCAAAAAAATGGCTGCTGCAGGAGGTGGAGCCAGCTACAAAACGGCTGCCAGAGTTTCCCTCCAGTCACCCAATGAAGACCCTTGTGTTTTGGTGGTAGCTGCTGCCAAAGCAACGTTGTTGGGGTTTTTTGGTATTGTTGTATTGGTTGTGTGTGTGCTCATGTCTGAAAGTGATCGTGACCTCTGGCGACTCCTACTGGGGAATGGACGACATTCAGAGAAGTGGCTTGCCTCTGCCTCCCAGCCCCAGTATTCTCTGGATCCGACAAGATCGGGCTTCTTTGGGCTATCCAGGTCAGGGTAATTTCCCACTTTTTTAGTGAGGGAACTAAGGAAACTGCACATCAATGGAGGGCAGGCATTAGAGAGACAAAGCAAAACTAACCCTGGATCACTAGAGAGGCAAAGCAAAACTAACTTTGGACCACTGAAAAGATAAAGCAAAACTAATCCTGGGTCACTGGAGAGCAAAGCAAAACTAACCCTGGATCGCTGGAGAAAACAAAACCAACCCTGGATTGCTGGAGAGCAAAGCAAAACCAACCCTAGATCGCAGGAGAGGCAAAGCAAAACCAACTCTGGATCGCTGGAGAAAGCAAAACCAACCCTGGATTGCTGGAGAGCAAAGCGAAACCAACCCTGGAACGCTGGAGAGCAAAGCAAAACCAACCCTGGAACGCTGGAGAGCAAAGCAAAACTAACCCTGGATCGCTGGAGAGCAAAGCAAAACCAACCCTGGATCGCTGGAAAGATAAAGTAAAACCAATCCTGGATCGCTGGAGAGCAAAGCAAAACCAATCCTGGATCGCAGGAGAGGCAAAGCAAAACCAACCCTGGATTGTTGAGATAAAGAAAAACAAATTTCGTGTCCCATCGGGAGTCATTCCTACCTTCTATGGCTAAGCTCAAATGTCACGTCTCAGGAAATCACCCCCATTCGGGGTACCGTTACCTCATAAGAAGTCAGTTCCATGAGCTCCATCAAGTCGTCCTCCATCTCAGACAGCGCCGTGTTGATTGAAGCAGCAGCTTCGGCTACTTCCGGGTGGTAATGCCTCTGCAGAGTCTGAGGCACCAAGAACAATGGAAAAAATGGTTTGTTCAAGTCACAGCTGTGCTGAAGGGTTGCCCCCCCAGGCTGTGTTTCACGCGGAGGGACCATAGCTCAATGGTTACAGTGTTAGACTAGGACCCTGAAGTCTTGGGTTCAAATCCTCAATCGGGCACAGAAACTTACTTCTAGGCGTAGAATGTTCTCTCTTTGCAAAGGGAAGGAATTAGGGAAATGTCTCCACTCTCCTTGGTCAATGTTCCCACCTCCCTGCTTGGGACAACTTTTAGAACCATTTTATGTTGGGGAGCACAACTTCAAATTCTATGGCCACAGATGGCAGGTGTGGTATCCTGTGCGTCTCTTGCAGAGAACTCCCCGAGTATTGTAAACCAGCACACGATAGAAAAGCTAAGCAAAATCCTTACCACTGAGCGACTACTTTTCTACACGTAGGGAGGAGCTGGTATTCCTAAACTGGAACAAGCATTCGAAAACACAACCTTCCATGTCGTCTGAAAGGGTGCAGAGCAACCCAGAACATCATGGTATCGTTTGACTTTTTTTTTTTTTAAGACGATCCCTTAAACTTCTCTGAAAACTCTTCCTAAGACGTACCTGTATCTCCCAGAGGGAGCTCTCTAAAGCCCGACTCTCCGAAGGGTCTTCTTCCTCCATCACATAAGGATCAGCCGGCATCTCTACAGAAGACAGAGAAAGCGATGATCCAAAAGGGCCTGAAAGCAGTCATGCATAGCAAGGGTCATCGCGGGGACTAAGCCATAAACAGGGGGTGGCCAAACTGCAGCTTGGGAGCCACATGTGGCACTTTCACACAATCTAATTTAATGTTAATAAAAAAGCAAATTTGCATATGTTGCTGTAATGATTTCATGTTTTGGTGTGTGTGTTTCTTTAAATGTTTAGTTTGACTGCAGTAATGTAAGGAGAGTGATAGAGGGAGAGGAGTGTGATGTGATTGGCTGATGACTGAGAGTGTGGGAGGGGTGTCTCTGAGGTGATTCTGTGTTTGTAGAGAGACGAGTGTGGAGAGTTTAGCCTGTGCGGCTAAGAAAGGCAGAGTTTAGCCTGTGTGGCTAAGAAAGGCAGAGTTTAGCCTGTGTGGCTAAGAAAGGCAGAGTTTAGCCTGTGTGACTATATGAGAGAGATGAGACTGTCAGAGTTGAGTTTTGGTGTTTGAGAGACTGTGTGACGCCAAGCTTTGTCAGTCATATTTATAAGTTCCTTTCCTCAACATCAGTTCAAAAATACCCAGAAACCTATTTTGTTCTTTTATAAATAAATATTTTTTCAAACGTATCCCAGCGATCAGTGCAGTCCTTCCTCAGGGCCACATAGACCTCTGAAGTGCCCAGACACTGGGTCATTCTACCAAAATAGAGAGAATTGGAATTTTTAATTCCGGGTGGCAGCAGAAATCTACTAAGTTCAGGTACACAGAGTGTGTTTTAAAGGAGGAACAGTCTCCCCAATAAGCAGGACCTCACAGTTGCCTTCGACAACAAATTTGCATATTTTCCAAGAAAAACGTGTGTGGTATTTGTTCCTGTCTTGCCGCTCTCAAAACATCTGACGTTTATTCTATGTGGCTGTTACGTTAAGCGAGTTTAGCCGCCCCTGCCAAAGAATCTACATTCCATGCCAGGGCCCCAAAAACAACATCAGAGACAGACAGTAGTCCGGATGGGAATTAAGAGAGGAAGAGCATATCCCCGAACAGGTATTGGGGGGAGGGGCTGTGGCTCACCGGCAGAGCATCTCCTCGGCATGCAGGAAGTCCCAGGTTCAATCCCCAGCAGTTAAAAAGGACCAGGCAGGAGGTGATGGGAACGGCCTCTGCCTGAGACCCTGGATAGGTGCTGTCAGTCTGAGTAGGCAATACTGCCCCCTGAGAGACCGAGGGTCTGATTCAGGATAAGGCAGTTTCATGTGTTCATGGCAGGGTCCATGGCTAGGGGTTAGAGCCTCTGCTTGGCATGCAGAAGGTCCCAGGTTCAATCCCCAGCATCTCCAGTTAAAAGGATCAGGCAGCAGGTGATATGAAAGACCTCTGCATAAAAACCTGGAGAGCTACTGCTGACCTTGATTGGGCCGATGGTCTGATTCAGCATAAGGCAGCTTCATGCTCCCGTTCCTTGGAAGAAGATGCAGCTGCCGTGCGCCGAGTCAGACCACTGATTTCAGCCAGATAAAAACCTTCCCCCAACACCTGAGTTCCTTTAGCTGGAGATGTTGGGGACTGAACGTGGGACCTTCTGCACGCAAAGCAGGTGCTCTACCCTGCCCCACCCCAAACTGTGGCTCTTCCATGGCACCTATGTGAAAGATGTACAGAAATGCACAGCACACCCACACAAGTCCATGGAAGGGTATTATTAGGAAGGGTATTGAAAACAGATCAGCCAATATCATAATGCCCCTATATAAATCAATGGTGCGACCTCATTTGGAATACTGTGTGCAGTTCTGGTCACCACACCTTAAAAAGGATATTATAGCTTTGGAAAAAGTGCAGAAAAGGGCAACTCAAATGATAAAAGAGTTGGAACACTTTCCCTATGAGGAAAGGTTAAAGCGCTTAGGGCTCTTTAGCTTGGAGAAACAACGACTGAGGGGTGACATGATCGAGGTTTATAAGATTATGCATGGGAAAGAGCAGGTAGGGAAAGAGGTACTTTTCTCCCTTTCTCACAATACAAGAACTCGTGGGCACTCCATGAAACTGCAGAGCGGTCGGGTTAGAACGGATAAAAGGAAGTACTTCTTCACCCAAAGAGTGATTAACACATGGAATTCACTGCCACAGGAAGTGGTGGCAGCTACAAGCATGGACAGCTTCAAAAGGGAATTAGATAAGCATATGGAGCAGAGGTCCATCAGTGGCTATTAGCCACAAGGTATAGCTAGGGGCTCTGGGGCAAGTGATGCTCTGTCTTCTTGGTGCTTGGGGGGGGGTCAACAGTGAGAGGGCTTCTAATGTCCTGGCCCCACTGGTGGACCTCCTGATGGCACTGGTATTTCTGGCCACTGTGTGACACAGAGTGTTGGACTGGATGGGCCTTTGGCCTGATCCAACATTGGCGTCTCTTATGTTCTTATGTTCTTAAGCCAGCAGCGCATGGGCATTAGTACATAGTACATAGCCTTAGTCCCACAGATCCTCGCGTGGATTTCATCACATGCGTCCCAAAACTGCCTCAATGCAAAGACTCCCCCCGAGGAAGAGCCGTCTCAGATGCTGGGCTTTCCAGAAGCAGGCTAGAGGTCTCCCTTCCTCTTTCTTTTCACCTTCGGGGCCACCGGGCCTGTGGACGAGCACTTGGCAAGACGGATGCCTCCGCAGCAGGTTGCAGATGAAGGGGATGACCATCAGCAGGGCGTCGGGTGGGGCAGCGAGGGAGAGGCGCGCCAGGCGCTTGGCAAAGGCCGCTACCAGGTATGACGGCAAGTGCCTGTTGGAAAAGAAGAAGAAGAAGAGATTGGATTTATACCCAACCCTTCACTACCCGAAGGAGTCTCAGAGTGGCTTACAATCCCCTTCCCCTTCCCCTCCCCCCAACAGACCCCCCCCCCCTGTAAGGTAGGTGGGTCTGAGAACTCTTCTGAGGACTGCTCGTGAGAGAACAGCTCTGAGAGAACTTGTGACTGACCCAAGGTCACACCAGCAGCTGCATGTGGAGGAGTGGGGAATCAACCCCTTCGGGGTAGGGCGGGATATAAATGTAAATATAAATAAATAAATAAATAAACCCAGTTCTCCCAGATTAGAGTCCGTGCGCTTAACCACTACACCAAACTGGCTCACCAAAAGGGAGGGAAAGCTCTCATTTGCTTCACTTTGTGGTGCCAGTCTAGAATGGTGCCACAAAGCTTCTCAAGAAAGTCATCCAAGAAAACTAAGCTCATTTTTTAGATTAAGGCGCCCTCCCCTGGGACATTCAGTGGAAGATTAAGACTCTGTGCCCTTGGCTGTGGGGAAGAGACTATGACTAAAAAAGAGGGAGGGAGGGAGAGAGGGAGGGAGGAAGGGAGGGAGGATTGGGTCTGAAGAGGGAGGGAGGGAGGGAGGGAGGAGAGAAAATGTAAATAAATATAAATACTCAATGTAACAATTTAAACAAACAAAAAATAATATTTTTTTTAAAAAAGGCGCCCTCCCCTGATGGACCAAATGCAAGGGTCCGTCCATCTAGTCCAGCATCCTGTTTCTCACGGCGACTAAAATGATGCTACAAAAGGCCTATGAGTAGGGCACCGAGGCCCAAGTCTTGCATGTTGTTTCCCCCCAGCATCGATATTCGGGGGTTACTGCCCTTGAACATGGAGGTTCCATTTAGCTATCATGGCTAACAGCCACTGATTGGACTTATCCTCCAGAAACTTGTGTGACCTCTTTCAACAAAACCTGAGCACTACCTTCAGCTTGCAAGTGGGGGATTCTGATCCCTGACAGTCAAAAAAAGAAAGGGGGAGGGGGAGGAGGAACCTTTCCAGGAACGATCAGAGGAATGGGATACCTCCATTCTTCTAACAGACCTTGAATCAGAAACCTCAGATAGAGTTGTTGGATTCTGTGCGGCTGCCCGAGTTTACCAAGATACAGTGCCGGTGCAGTGCAATATATTTGTTATTTTTCTTCTTCTTAATGTAAAGCTGCATGTATATCCTTATAACTATTTTGCTAACGTATGTTTTATTACGATAGTCTATTACCATAGTAAATAATCAACCGAGGAAAAAACCCTCTTGGAAACCAAAAGTCTACCTGCCATTTCTGTGCTAATTTTCGACATGCAAGGACGCAGGAGCCTTTGATAATGACGTTTGCACCTTGAAGGGGCAGTTACTTCTCTCCCTTGAGCATCCTCCCACCTTATTCTGCTGTCCAGTCAAACAGCAATTTCAACAGGTTTCAGCATAACTCTTTTACAAACACAATGGGGGGAGAACAAGTCCTCAAAGCCATCTCTCCTTTGGCCCTCACTCCTGGAAAAAGATAACAGCAGCTTTTTGAGAACAAAACTGGAAGCTGGAGGCAGCAAAGGGGCCATCTACCTGCTCGTGGAAATCAAAGCAAAGACCTTTTCCCTATTCTCTTTTTCCTTGCTGGTGTGTGTTCCTGTTACTTCAGGGGCTTCTTTCTGTTCCATGAGTTCTGCTCCCTCTAGAGGCTGATTCGATATTACATCACGTTATGTCCAGCACCTTCTTGCAGATTTAACCTGCAGGTTTTTATGTCAGACATACAACAATGTAATACGGAATCATCCACTAAAGGGATTAAAACACGTGCAGAACAGAAAACAAACAAACAAAGCAACAGGAATACACAAGCAAGGAAAATGAGCATGTGGGGAAGCCCAGAGTTTAAACGGGGCTCACGGCCTTTTTCTCGCGCTCGTACTTACGAAGACGACAAGAAGAGATCCAGCAAACGGAAAAATCTGGCACGGTACTTCACGTAAAAGATGGAGGGGTCCAGAAGACTGTAGAGTTTCTTATAAAAATCAGGATACTCCCTACACAAGGAGGACAGACAAAACAGACCACGCAACATGCTTTAACTTAGAGACAGAGAGATTAGAGAGAGAGAGATTGGTGTATAATTAAGGGGAGTTGTCTATCTGTCTACAGTGGTACAGACCAATTAACCCACTCACTCCATTATTCATTTTCAGGGCTCTTTTTGTAGAAAAAGCCCAGCAGGAACTCATTAGCATAATAGGCCACACCCAACAGCAGAAACTCATTAGCCTATTAGGCCACACCCCTGACTGCACAGCTCATTAGCACATTAGGCCACACCCCCATGTTACCAGAAGTCTGGTCATCCAGCCACACCCACCTTTCGCTTCTTATCCTGTTTACCTTGTTTGTTGTCAAAACCCAGGGCTTTTTTTGTAGCAGGAACTCCTTTGCATGTTAGGCCACACACCCCTATTGTAGCCAATCCTAATGAGTTTCTGCTGTTGGGTGTGGCCTATTATGCTAATGAATTCCGGCTGGGCATGGCCAACTCGGGAGCCAGCCGGAACTCCGTTCCTGTGCGTTCCTGCCAAAAAATAGCCCTGTTCATATTAGATCTGGCCGCAGAAGTGTTATCGGAGAATGGGAGGAACTTACAGATTATGATGGAGAATGAGAACAAACAATCCATTTAAGGCGAGAAGACTGATGGCTCCACCTATAAGAGAAGCAAAGTAAAATTTAAGTCTAAAGTTCAATGGGGGAAATAGGACAAGATCATGGCAGTAATAGGGACAGTAAGGAAAGACACTGATGCTAGGTTCAGGCACAAGGGCCAGCCACGCCTGGGGTATTACAGGGGCATTCCTGTCATTCCTGGTAGTAGCTGGCAACAAAGGGTGTGTGTGGGGGGAGCGCTGCATTCCACAAGCCTGCATCCAAATATGGGATTTCCTATCAACTCCAATTCAGCAACCTGGAAATTTCATATGAAATAAAATGTAAGAATTTTCTAGCGCTTGTCATGTGTGAAGATGGGCTTGGAAGCAGGCGGACAGAGACCGCAAAGGCACAAACAAACCAGCAAGGGCAGACTCACACGTTGAAAGCCTTCTCCAAGTGCTACACCTCCACTGTGCTGAGGCAGGCATTCACACACAACCGGTCATCCTGACCAGTGTTCTTTCTAAGCTGAGTTAGCGTGAGCTAGCTCACAGTTTTTTAGCCTCCGGCTCACACATTTTTGTCTTAGCTCAGGAAGGAGGGCTCCAGAGCAAACTAATTTAAGCAGGAGCCAAATGGCTGGCTCACAACTTTAATGCCAGCAGCTCACAAAGTAGCATTTTTTCTCATGAGACTCCACAGCTTAGCGGGAACATTGATCCTGATCCTTACTGAATACATCCAGACCAGCTAGATCCGAATCCAGCAGCTTAGAGACCAACAAGGTTTCTTCAGTAGAAGCCTTCAACGCTCCCTTCATCAGATACAAAGCGAGCTGTGACTCTCGAGCGTTTATCCCCAAGACCTCTTGTTGGTCTCTACTGGACTCAAATCTAGCAAACCTCTGAAACTACCCACACGGGTGTCTTTAATGATTTTATAATTGTAAATGTTTTCAATTGTTCAGATGTTTGTGTGTCTTCAAGCCTAGGGGATCCTGATCCAGTGGAAAGGTGGTATAAAATGTTTTAAATAAAATAAAAAATATCCAGAAGTGGTATATTCTGGTACACACATGCAGCTGCCTTCTACTGAAATGAGACCCTTGGCCCGTCAAGGTGTTGTCTACTCAGACCAGCAGCAGCTGTCCAAAGACTCAGGCTCGAAGACTTTCACATCACCTACTACCTGGTCCTTTCAACTGGAGATGCCGGGGATTCAACCTGGGACCTTCTGCATGCAAAGCAGCGGCTCTTCCGCTAAGCCACAGCCCTTCCCCGAGTAGCTGGGGAAATGTCCTTGGAAATCAGGGCTGCAGAAGTCAGATGAAGAAGCTTCATCTGTACCCTGGGGGTCATTTCGTAGAAAAAGAGTTGCAGGAGCTCATTAGCATAACTTATTTGCATATGCCACGCCCCCTGACCTCACCGGAAGTGTGTCAGAAGGCAACACCCACCGCTCAGGCTCCACTGGACTGTTTTGGATTGCTAGCTATTGGGGGGGGGGGGACGTGCAGATCTGTCCTCACAGAGGAGGGAGAGCTTGTACCTGAATAAAACTTGGTCTTAAAGGTGCCACTGGACTGTTTTGGACTGGGGGGGGGCTCTGCAACTTACCTGGCTGCTTCTTGCTCTGACTGAGGGCTGCTGGGAGCAGGGGGTGGGGCTTGTTGCATGTGCCCGCCCCCTGGGCTCTTTACTGCTGGAGCCCCGCTCCTGTGCGCTCCTGCAGGAAATGACCCCTGTCTGTACCTATGAAGGGCCCTTGTTGTATGAATACAACTCTTGAGGTAGCTGCAGGATGCAGCTCGGAGGGCAGTTTTGACTGTGTCTTCTTCTTATATCAAGGGAAAGGCTATGCAAGCTTCCTTCCAAAGATGACTGGCTAAGTCCCAGTTTCTGGCAAAAGGACGGCACTGTCTCAAGGAAGAGTGACACCTCTCTGCCCCAAAGAAGGCTGTACATTTAGGCTACTTAAATTCTGAATTCATCCACTGGCTTTGGAGGCTCTGTGCGAACTGGCAAATACCTCCAGACAGCCCCCACAGCTCAGGCATCCCCAACCTGGTGCCCATGGGTGCAACGGCACCCGCCAAGACCTTCCCCGGTGCCCTCCAAGTCCTTTGAGAAAGCGGGCGGGGCTCGGTAGGGCTTTCTGTCCAGCAGGGCTTCTGATTGGCTGTGCAGATTAAAAGGCGTGCTGTTCAACAGGGCTCCTGCCTGAAATGTCAAGCAGGTGCTATCAGAGTTCGATATAACCTATCTCCCCAACTTTTTGTGGTTGGCTCCACTTCCTCTGGCAGCCATGTTGCCCACTGCCTTGGGCAGTGTCAGAGTTCCAAAATGTCTGCAGGCCCCCCCAAAAAGTTGGGGACCCCGACCATCGCTATTCAGCAAGGAGAACGTCTGGAAGACTCACTAGATACATGGACAGATCTTTGAGAGCCAGTTTGGTGTAGTGGTTAGGAGTGCGGACTCTAATCAGGGAGAACCGGGTTTGATTCCCCACTCCTCCACATGCAGCTGCTGGAGTGACCTTGGGTCAGTCACAAGTTCTCTCAGAGCTGTTCTGTCAAGGGCAGTCCTCGAAAGAGCCCTCTCAGCACCACCTACCTCACAGGATATCTGTTATGGGGAGGGGAAGGAAAAGGAGTTTGTAAATGGCTCTGAGACTCCTTTGGGTAGTGAAGGGCGGGGTATGAATCCAATCTCTTCTTCTTCTGTCTTCAAACCACCACCTCCTTTTGGGTGGATCAGTAATCAAGCACAGAATGCTGTTTTTTTACCCACCTATGTCATATGCGACCGTCAGGAAGTCTATCATGAGGGTGGGTTCATTCATATGAGGCAGGGAGTCAGGATGGAGTCGTTTAGGATCGCCAGGACCTTCTTGTAGAGGCTGCTGGGTAGCTGCGAGCACGGCGGGAAGAGAGAAGGGGCAGATATCACATTCAGTCATGTTCAGTGTGCGGACTCTAACCTGGGAGAACTGGGTTTGATTCCCCACTCCTCCACTTGCACCTGCTGGATGACCTTGGGCAAGCCGTAGTTCTGATAAGAGCTGTTCTTGGAAAAGAGCAGTTTCTGTCAGAGCTCTCTCAGCCCCACCTACCTCACAGGCAATGTTCCCTCTAAGCTGAGTGTGAGCTAGCTCACAGTTTTTTAGCCTCTGGCTCACACATTTTTGTCTCAGCTCAGGAAGGATGGCTCCAGAGGAAACTAATTTATGCAGCAGCCAAATCACTGGCTCACAACTTTCATGCCAGGAGCTCACAAGGTAGGATTTTTGCTCACAAGACTCCACAGCTTAGAGAGAATATTGCTCACAGGGTGTCTGTTGTGGGGAGGGGAAGGGAGAGGAGTTTGTAATCCGCTCTGAGACTCCCTTGGGTAGTGAAGGGCGGGGTATAAATCCAATCTCTTCTTCTTCTTCTTCTTCTTCTTCACATGCTACGCCCATCATCTCCCACACCACTGGTGCCTGGGAGTGAGCCAAACCCCAGGGGGTGAATGGGGGTGGAGGGTGGAATGCCGCAGCTCTGCTATCTCTTCTCCTTAACCTGCCGCTGGGAGGATCGGGGCCCAGGGCTCAGGAGTCAGAGCCCTGCAGCCCACAAGCAAGGGTGTCGTGGCCCACTTTTGGGGAAACTGCCTGCCATTCGAGAACTCAGAGAGTTCACCGGTGAGGGGTTCCAAATGTTTTAATCCCTCCCGGGACACCAGGCCTCCCAAGCCACAGGGACCGCAGTCAGAGGAGAACGGGACTTTGTGATGGTAACCCAAGGCCTCCCGCACTCACCTTATGCTTAAGAAACCCGAGCCACATCCTCTCGAAGGCCCGTCTGTGCTCCTGAAAACAAAGGAGAGAAAGAACACAGGGCACACTGTAGCAGCCTGGTTGCCAATCTCCAGCTGGCACCTGGAGATCTCCAGCAATTACAACTGATCTCCAAAGATCGGACTACAAATCTCCAGATTACAGTATTTAGTTCCCCTGGAGAAAATGGCTGCTTTGGAGGTTGGAATCTAGGGCATGATACCCTGCAGAGGTCCCTCCCCCAAGCCCCGCCCTCCCCAGGCTCCGCCTCCAAATCTCCTAGAATTTTCCAGTCCAGAGCCGGCCACTCTGAACAGCAGCCATCTTGCTTCTGCTGAGGTGGACACAGCAAAGCTCTTCACACACACAGTCACTCCCCAGTTCCAGTGGTTCCTGGCGTTCCACATCCAAACAGAACAGGTCTATCAATAACTACGAACCTCCACGTACAGAGGCAGTATACCCCTGATACGCCAACTCTGCTGTCATGCCCCACTCATGAGCATCCCAAAAACATCTAAGTGGCAACTCGGGGAAAACAGGATGCTGCACTAAGCGGATCCCTAGTCTCAAGCGGGGTTCTTCTAATATGGCAGCCCGACGCTGAGCTGTTTAAGAGAAACAAAAGACAACTCGAAGGTACCTTCAGCTTTGACACTTTCCATTCCTCCCGGTTTGCTGCAGAGAGGAAAAAGAGAAAGGAAATGCAACGGAATAGCGGCAGAGTCAAGTCCATTCTTGTATTTGTGCAGGGGGTTGGACTAGATGACCCCGGAGGTCCCTTCCCACTCTATGATTCTAGGTCGCCTACAATCACACCATCACATTTGATAACAGTACCCAGCTCAGTATTTTCAGATTTCATTCTAAAAAAATATGTGGTTCTCAAGGCTTGCAAAGACAGACTTGGAAGCTTGAGGGAAAAGGCTGCTTAACATCTCAAAAGCTGGTGGTATTCTAGGAAGATTTCCAGGGGGCGAGTTTTCATGCCTAAATTTTTACAGGTTGTCAAATACAGCCTTTGGGGGGGGACAGACTTTTTTTTCCTTTTAAGAACAGAGTTCTTGGATTTGCACAGAACACCGGCTTCCCAGCCATCCCTTTCAGCCAGCCATACAGCAATGGGAGAAACAGCAAGAAAAACCCAGGTCAAATCCAGGTCCCCAGCTAAGGGCTCCACCGCACATTACATGGGAGATCTGGGATTTCTAAAAGTATGTTTTAAAAAGTAGCTGCAGGGACTTCCTTGATGGATCCGGGTTGTAGCGCTAGAAAGACAACCAATCCATGAATGGGGTAATGATACTGTCCTACCTTACGGGGCTGTTTTAAAACCATCGACCAGATATGTTTTTATCCTGCTTTTCCACCAAGGAGCTCAGTGCGGCATACACAGTTCTCCTAGAGTCAGTTTGGTGTAGTGGTTAAGTGCGCGGACTCTACTCTGGGAGATCCAGGATTCCCCACGCCTCCACTTGCGCCTGGCTGGATGACCTTGGGCATGCCATAGTTCTGATAAGAGCTGTTCTTGAAAAAGAGCAGTTTCTGTCAGAGCTCTCTCAGCCCCACCCGCCTCACAGGGTGTCTGTTGTGGGGAGGGGAAGGGAGAGGAGTTTGTAAGCCGCTCTGAGACTTCGAGTGAAGTCTTCTTCCTAGGATTGCTAACCTTCAGGAGGGGCCTGGATATCTCCTCGTATTTTAACTGATCTCCAGGTAAAAGAGATCAGTTCCCCTGGAGAAAATGGAGGCTTTGGGGGGTGGGCTCTATGGCACCATTTCCTGCTG